GGGTGGGGGGGGGGGAAAGCAACAACTCGAAAAACAAACAACGAAAGGAAGAAATGCAACATTAACGAAGTGACAAGTACAATGGGTGGGGACGGCACAGGCTCAATGAGTTTTAACGCACACACACACACACGTGAAAAATGGCTGGTGGCTGCTCACTTGATATTCCCCTTTTTTTCCTTTTCTTTTTTCTTTTTGTGAGAGGACGATCGCATCGTCAGTTACGCACTTGTGTTGGAACGTCACACACACACACACACACACACGCCTACTTTGATTCGCATTTGCCGCAATGCCGCCTAGGCTGGCGTCTAAAGTTGGCCGTGCCGGCCGCCGAGGGATGACGTCGGCGGGCATCACGCGGCGTAGAAGCGGCCCAACGCCTGGCGAGATTGTCGCCGCCACCTTCGCCAACGTTGAGTTGAGCTTCACGAAGGCCTCTATGGCCGAGTACTCGAAACGCTGTGAAAGAATGTCACGGGAGAACGAGTTGCTGCGGCATCAGCTAGAGGAGCATGAGTCTGACTCCATCAAGGTGGTGCAGCACCTCAAGGAGAAACTTCAGTGCGCGGAGAAGGAAGTGACGGAGCAGCGGAGTGAGATTGAGCGGCTGCTCGCGGAGAGTGCGGATGCGGAAGAGGATCTGCGATGCCAGTACGAGCGTATATTAGAGGAGCGCGATGAGCAGATTGTGCAGTACGCCACCATTGTTCAGCGGCTGCAGTCAGACCTGAAGGGAGCCGCCCAGCATGTGCATAAGCGGGAGATCCATCAGCTTGAGCTGAAGCGGCTACATGACGAGATTGAAGAAATGCGGACACGTCACGACTGTGAACTTGCCGCGCTGCGTTTTCAGACCGTCGACCGTAAGATGCGGCTTGTGGCGCTGGAAGAGACGATGCGGGAGAGGTTTCAGGCGCAGGTGGAGAAGGAGTCAGAGAGGCTGCTGGAAGCAAAGTCCAAGGCGCTGCTAGAAGACCATGAGTCACTGCAGTGCGAGCGGGTTCGGCTCACACAAGACCTGGAGGAACTCGTGCAGCTTGCAACGGTGAAGAACATGGAGTGTGCCGACGTACGGCGGAAGGGGGAGTTACACCAGCGTGCCTGCGAGGAGGCACTGCGACGCATCGTGCTAGGCAATCGTCGTGCACGGGATTCTGAGGCAAAAACGCAACGACTGGAGCGGCGTGTGAAGGAGTTGCTGCGGGAGAAGAATGCGATGCGTGAAGAGCTTTCGCGCCGGTACGAGACGCAGATCCATGAACTAGAGAAGGCACTTGCCGAGACACAGAACTCGCTACAGTGCCACCGCAACGAGCTGCAGCGCCTGCGCCACATCGCATCGACCATCGTGGGTCAGCGATCCGATCTTGAGAGGTTTTTTTACGTGGCGCTCGACGATGTGCGACGGATGCGCTCAAAGGCGCCCCGGCGGCAACAGGTGGCATCGCCGGTGCAGCTGCCCTCTCTTCTCGCCACCGAGAACAACGGCAACGTTGCCCACAATGGGGCCAACCCACGCCACTCACAGCAGCAACAACAGCAACAGGCCCCACCGCTGATTTTGGAGGCTTTGCCCTCCTCTTTGGCGACGAAAGGCGGCCCCACATTTTTAACTGAATCCCCGGCGAGTGCGAAGGGCAATTTTAACACGCCCACCGCGTCGACCGTCAATACCGTGCCGCCATCCATACCCGCCCTCTCTCCAACGGGGCCCTCTTCTTCTGTGCCTCTGCCGTCACCGCCCCCTGGCGCGGCACCGGGGCGTCGGTGTGGCGGCAGTGCAAGGCCGACGCGAGATGCCGGTAATAACAACAACAACGTTCTGCTTATAAATCTCGGTGAAAACGGCGAGGGGGCGTACCTGAACGACTTGTCGTGGGAAGACAAGGAAAAGATTATTAAGGCGCTTCTCTTCTTTATCAATCAGACGTGTTACCAGAAGTTGCCAGGAAGTCAGCCGGTGAACAGTGAGGCGACGCTCATGGAGACTTAGGCATCACTGCCCGCGTTGGGCAGCCTGATGGATGTATTGTATTTACTCTCTCTCCCTCTTTCTTTTTTTTTTTTTTTTCCCTTCTTTTTTCTGAAGTTTATGCCATTGACGGGATTATTTCCTGCCCTCCCTCTCTTACTGGTGACGTGCGTTTGGTGGTGAGGAAGAAAAAATAATAATAATACTCATAAAAGAAAAGGACAGCATGAACCGGGAGGAAAAAGAGGGAGACAATTACGAGAACCAACCAAAGAAATAATCCAGAGACGCACAAGGCAATCATCATATATACATGTATGTGTGACCGTGGTGCGCAAGCAGGAGGGGGATGAAAACAGAGAGTGGAGTAAGGGACATGGAGGTGGAAATGAAAAGGAAAAAGAGAAAAAAAAAAAAAATATTTTATTGATGCAACTCATCTTTGGCACAGATGCCTTTGTTATTTTCGTTCTTAATCTTATGTCTCGTGTATGCAATGTATTATATTGACATATATTTGAAGTCCTTTTTGTGTGTAATACGTATTGTCATGTCTTGTGTATTTTAAAGGAAGCATGAGCGGTTTCTATACACATGTGTACATATTGTACATGTGAATTACTTTTTCTGCAGCATACACATGCAAAATACTTTTGTATTACCAATGAAATCAAACGCCGGCGCACCAGATATTCCGCGATGGCTCCAATATGTATTGAAAGGAACTATTTATGTGTCTCTTTACATGGCTATTGCCTGTAAAACAAACTATATTATATATTATATAATATATGTTTACAGCTTCTAATTCTTTTTTTTTTGTTATTGCTTTTCCTTTTTTCCTTTTTTTTTTTTTAAATACTTTCACCGGTGAAGAGAAGAAGATGAATTTTGAGGATCCCTTTGCAGATGACTTACAGTCCCTTGATGCCGTTATGGCGCAGCTTGCTGCTGAGCAGGGTCGTCGGTCACGTCCACCACCACCGGAGAGCGGGACATCCACCTTATCCACAGCAATAGCAGGCAGGTCAGCGGCAGGTCTTGAGGGCCGCACAGACAGACGTGACGCCGTGTCCATTAAAAGCCTGGGGCAACAGGTGCAGCCAATAGCCGCATTTGCAACAGCGACAAGGAAACCAGCGTCCACAGCCGTAGGAAAGGATGAGCCCGTGCCGTGGGAGATGTATGACAACCCTTCGACAACAGCACGCACACATGCGTCTGCGACGACCTCGTGGGGGACGTCGCTCGTGGCACATGTGGGTGGGAGAGACCGACACGACGCGGCTGCGGTTGGCCGGGGCGATGGGGACGACGCCAGTGACAAAGAAGATCCACTTGCTTTTCTTGAGAGGGCCCCATCTTTGGCAGCGCCGGTTGTTGAGCAGAGTCAGGCCACAAAGCCCTTCGGGGCTGACGCCGCCTTCTCTCCGCAGAGGCATATGGAGGACGAAGGGGCGAGAGGACAGGCAGAAAGACGTGATTTACTTTCGTCGCTGGACGCCGTTGGAATGGAGCTTGATCAGATTTATAGCACGTTAGATAGGCTGCAAATACAGGCAGACACGGAGCTAACGGGATTAGAGACGACGATCATAGAGAAACAGACGGAACTTGCCATCGGAGAGGACCGCATTGCCAGCGAACGACGTCAATACGAATCTTACCACCAACGGCGTCTGAAGGATATAACGGATCGCACCACAGAGTTGCTGCAACGGCAGGTGGAGGAGGTGACATCAATGGAGAAGGAGCAGTATGAGGCCCAGTTACGTGCTCTCACGGCGGAAATGGGGGATGTCAAGAATAGAATAGATCAGTTGCTTCAGCAGCGAGAGTTACTGCTACAGCAGCATAGATACGACGAGAAGGGCATCTTCCTTGCCCTGGCAGATGAGGAGGAGGCGAACGAAAAGAAAACAGCTGCGGATGGTGGTGTCGGCACGGATGCAGCGGCCGGTCCCACAAGTAGTACCAGTAGCGTTGAAACCAAGATGAACGCCGCCCTCCGTCTTCTTTGGCGACATCATAATGAGCAAATGGAGTCTCTTGCAAGCGGCGTGGTGCGGTTTCTTCACCAAGAGGCAATGGACGTTGCCCGTGAGGTGCGTGAGCGGCACGAGTTGGCGTACTTGCAGGATGCCGTCACACGCAAGGAAGAACTTGGTGAGTTTATGCAGGAATTCCTACGGCGTTATCGTGAGTTTTTTCAGCACCGTTCGGAGGTTAGGTCACGCAAAATTGCTGCATTGCGACGAGGATTGCAAGAAGCGACGGAGCAACTGCGTCTGCGTGCCAGGCAGCGGCTGGAGAAACGTACGCAGGAGGTGGCAGCGCAGATGGACGAGGCCGCACGTCGGTTTGAAAAACTTGCGTTGGAGTCTGCCGCGTGTGTGAGGCGAAAAGCTGCCGCGGTACGTGAGAGCGACGACAGTGTGGCCAAAAGCCAGCGAGCCGACTTGGAAAGTCGCTGTCAGATGGAGCGGGCTGTCACGGAGAAGCTTCAGCAATCTGAAATGGAGACATTGCAGCAACAGTTGGAAAGAATGCGGCGTTTGGGCAATGACAGCACCAGTGAGGACGACAGTGGGGTGCTGCGGAAACAAGTGGCAGAGGACATGTGCACAGCGAGGGCAGAATCCATCACCGGCCAAGTGCGTGCATTGGAGTCTTCTGTGCAGCAGCTACTCCGCCAGCAGCTCTTGAGGAATCAGGCACACGGCGACAAGGGGGAGGGGCAGTTGTTTCTGACAGACGAGGAAATTTTCTCGCGCATGGCGGTGCAGGAAAAGGAGGCTGTCGTTCTTTCATTGTTTGAAGAGGTGCAAAAGCGACAGAACGAACTGTCGGCAACACGCCAACGATGTGGTGAGCTGCGGGAAGGCATCGCCTTCAAAATGCAGGAGGAGGTGCAGACTGTGCGGCAGCAACGCTTGGCGCAGGAGTCTCGACTTGCGAGCGTTGAGCTTCTCCGAATGGCATGGGAGAGGGAGCAGCGGGAGTTGCTGCAGTGGGGTTGTGACATGATAGTGACTCATGGCGACTCCGCCAGCACTGTTTCTTCCACTGCACGCACGCAACTCCCGGCGGCCACCACGACGATGGACCTCATGAGTCTAATCGCAGGGCGCAATCATGCAATTATGGAAGAGCGCTCGAAATTGCGCACCAGGCGTCGTCAGCTTTTACACACGATAGAGAAGGAGCGCGAGAATGCTGTGGCAAAACAGCGCGAGACAGAGGGGCGGTGGGCACAATTCTGCGAGCAGCTGGTTGGTCTCGTGGCGGAGGAGCATGCGGTATCGGCGCAGCGGTTTGCAGCGGCAACGGAGATAGCGAAAATGGCGGCGATGCGGGAGCTGATAAGTCACGACAAGGAATTGTTTTGCCGGCACCGTGAGGAAATGCAAGAGGAGGTGGAGCGGCTCAAGGGAAAGCTGCAGGCGACACTGACGCAACAGGCCGAATACGACGCACTGCAACAGAAGATTGCCTTGGAGCAGACGGCGCTGGCGCAGCAGCAGCGCCAATTGGCCATTGAACAGAGCCGTTTGGGGAGACCCGCTGCTTCTGCTGCTGCTGAGGAGGAGGGGGAGACACGGTGCCCACCCGCAAAGCAGCCGCCGCGCTCGGATCGCCCACTCTCGCCCGGGGAGGCCTCGCTGCGTCGCCCCGTTGAAACCCTCCAGGAGGTGACGGCCCGCGATAATATTCCCGTTCTACGAGAAAAGCCACAATGGCAGCAGCAGGGGAGGGAGGCAAGAAGAAACACACTACCCCCCAGCATGGCACGCCAGAACGCAGGGAGAAGTTTTAGTCACACTTCACTCTTCACGGAGGGGATAGGAGAAAAAGCATCCGCTGTTTAGAAGGAACAGTTATTCACGTCTTTTGCCTCTTTGTTTTGTTTGCCTCGTGGAGTGGATGAATACAAGCAGACAGACACCTACAATATATATATACGTGTGTGTGACATCCTCATGCAGAGTGACTGTATGCATTTGATTTGGTGAAGACCAACAATTGCCCCTTCCAAGTTAACCCCCTTCGTTTTTTTAAATTCTGTTGTTATTGCCGGTGCCTTTACGTTATCATAAATGCAAAAAAAAAAAAAAAAAGAAAAACAAACAAAGAAGAAAAATCATTTCTGTGAGTTATGCGTTTTTTTCCCCATTTTTATTTTGGACTCTTGCCTCTTGCAACACCACAGTCTTTCCGAGGGTAGCAGTTTGTAGTAGTTTGTGGATCATGCAGCAGCCTGCGTCACTGAGCGTCAGCGCACCTCCCGCTCCTGTGATTAAACGTGCGGTACCGGTGAAGCTCACATATGAGGAGGTGCGGCGTGCGGCCATGTTTTCGGTGCTCGACGACTTTGCTTCTCAAAAGCAGTACAAGCGCCGTGTCCAGCGCCTAAAGGATGTGGGCGGCAACGTGCAGGTGATTCCCAATCCGGCCGTGGACACGGTGGAGGCCGCGCCAAAGGGGAGCTCGACACGGCTGCTGCGAGAACATTCCAGCGCCTCATGGAGTGTATACTTCTACCAGTGGAGTTTGTTTGGTCTGACTAGCATCTCTTCGGTGGCAACGGCGATGGGGTTTTATCTCACCATCTACCACAACCGCATGTTTTTGCCGCTCGGCCCAATGGCCGCCGCGGTGACGTGGCGTCTCTGGGATCTACTGGAGGCGGCGTGGGAGCAGCAGCGGTACATCGACAACGCCGCGCGCCTGCGTGACTCGCGCAAGGGCAATCCGATGAATTTGGTAGCGAAGCGCACCGCTTCTCAGGAGGAAGTGGAGCCGTTGGAGGAGATGATGTGAGCCACTGCAGCCGATGTTCATCAAGCGGAAAAAAAAAAAAAAGTAATCACTGAAGAAGCCGCCGCCCTTCTCCACCAAAAGGAAAGAGGGTAGCCTTCGCCGCTGACACCTCTGCTCGCCCCCACCCCTATTTGTGTTACTAGCATTTTCTTCTTGTCACTTCTTTTTTTTTTTCTCCGCTGTTTGTGTGTGTGTGTGTGCATGTGTAGTTGGGGGCCACGGCGGCACCGCGTTGTTGCCACCGTGCGGGCAATTGGGGTGTGGGGACGGCTTCATCATATAAGCGACGGGGGAATAAATCAACAGCTGTGAGAGAAGCGAGACGGAGCACCCTTCGTCTTCACTTTTTCTTTCTTTTTTTTTATTATTATTACCGCTTCCTTTTTTTTTTCTTTTTCTTCTGTGTTGGAGTGGGTCCTTTTTTCCTTTTCTTTATTATTGCACAATTCGTGTGCGTTTGTGTGCGGACGCTGCGTGAAGTGAGAGCGAGAGAAGGGTTCAAACACACACACAAAAAAAGGGAGAAAATGGATAAAATTGTCCGCACGGTGTACAGGCAGCTCTACAAGAAGGCTGCCAGCGTCGACAAAGACATTGCGATGCGGTCTGTTCTGACATGTTCGCCACAGCGGCTGTATGATCATCGCCGTGGGGTGTGGATTGCCTTTGACCTGGCGAAGCAGTCGGGGTGGCCGGAGTCCCGCATTTTCCTCGACAGCCTCATCCGCAAACTGAACCACGGCCGCGATTTCTTCATCCCACAGGCTGGACGCGACGCGGATGATGACGGGTGTCGTGGCGGCAGCAGTGAGGGTAATAGGAGTGGCGGCAACGATAGCGGTGGCAGCAACAGCAGCAGCAGCGGTCATAATAATGAGGATGGCAACAAAAGCAATAAAAATAATACTCATGGCGGGGGTGAGCCGTCCCCTACGCTTCTGCAGGTTCTCCGGAAGTCTTTTGAGGAAACACCGTTTACTGTCGGCCAGATGAACAATGCTTTTGCGGCACTGAAGGAACTTGCGTACGTGACAGAAATGGCATCAAAGCACTACGGGTCAGGTGTTTTGCCACCCAAGGAGTTCGATACGCTTCCAAAGCCCAAACTCACAGTTGTGGATACGGTGGGGGAGATGCACCATTTGTCTCTCACAAAAGGGCTCTCGGATGTCCTGGAACGACTCAGCGGTGAAGAAAAAGGCATGGTAAGCCGCAAATCCGAGGAGGATGTGCGCGTCAAGGAGGAGACAAAGGATGGGACAGGAAAGGGCGATGATGACAATGATGACGATAATTTTGGATTGTCTGGTAAGACGCCAATAAAAAATCCTTTTGAAACACCAAAGGTGGTTCACATGCTCTTGGCACATCCGCAGCTATATGAATTCTTCCGTTACAGTGTCATGATAGTCGTTCGCTCCACCCCAAATGAGGCTGCTGCGTTTATACTCAACAAGCCGCTGGAAAATGACGAGGGCATGTTGATGCAAGTTAACTCCACGATTCGTCTGAACCACGTTCATCCCATTTTGGGCAAACACCTTGGTAATCACACCGTGATGATTGGGGGTCCTGTTAGCCGCGGTTCCTTTGACTCGAGTATTCTTCTGCTGCACCGCATCCCTGATGTGGAGGATGCGATCCCAGTCTCTCAATCGCTGTGGGTGGACGGGAACTACGACGTGCTGCAGAAGAAACTCGATGATGGTACCGCCGATGCGAAGGACATTGTTGTGATCTGCGGCTTTAGTGGATGGGGAGCGGGTCAGCTTGCGGGGGAGATAAGTTCCGGCACTTGGGTTGTGGCGCGCGGCAGTGCCAACGATCCTGCGATGGACGACTTTATCTTTGCGCTTGCACGACACGCGGGGGTATCGTCTTGTGGGGCACCACAACAACCATTAGAATCAGCCTCATCATCGTCGTCGTCGCGGAGAAAGGCCAAGAAGATGCCACAGGGTGGAGAATGCCGAATTCGGAGTGCGGCTGCGTGGGCATTGGCCTACAGCGCGCTTGGCCCACCGTACGCGGATCTCGCTCGGAACCAAAAGCCTTTTATGCAAGACCCACGAGAGAACTAGCGAAAGGGGGGAGGTGACAAACCAACAGCAGTGGTGCGGGGTCGCGGTGGGAGGAGAGGATGAATGGCTCCCTTGCCGTCTTTCTGCCTCTGTGTGTCTTAGAGGGGGGAGAAGTGGAGGGTAAACGAGGCTGGAAACAACACCGGCAACAACAAGAAGAAGGGAAATGCATCGTGATAATTATAACGAGAGTAGAAAAAAAAAGGGAAGGACGAGAAGGGGCTGCGGTAGGGGGTGGGTTGAGGCAAACGAGGAAATGAATGACGACAGGCGGCCCACGAAAGAGAGAGAGAGAGAGAGAGAGAAAGAGACGAAGGGAGAAACCTGCCCAGGGACACTTGTGAGGCGTCAATGTACACGAAAAGAGAGGCAGCGCATGCCAATTTGCTCCAAGCCATTCACACACCCGTCCACGCACATATACAATCACAAATAAATGAACTTACAGGCGAAGACAAAAAAGTAAACAACTACAAAGAAAGAATACATGAGAATACCGGCGCGGACGAGACTTTTCCCTTTTTTTTTTTTTTCCTGTTGAAATTACTCCACTTTGTGCAAATATCTGAAAAATGCGTCGGTGGTTTTTTTTTTCCGCATTTTTTTTCTTTTTCGATGGAAAAGTGTGTGTGTTCGGAGTTTTGCCGTCAGTTTTCGCCCGAAGAAATGGGAGTCGACCTCACCGGAGTCCAGAAGAAGAAGCGCGTGGTGCGCCACCACACTTATTCGACGAACCCGTACATCAAACTGCTCATTAAGCTCTACAAGTTCCTTGCCCAACGCACCAACTCCGCATTCAACAAGCTCGTGCACCAGCGCCTGCTTAAGAGCCGCAGCAACCGTGCCCCAATCTCTCTGAGCCGCATCGCCGTCTGCATGAAGCGCAAGTCGGTGTGGCTGGAGAAGGGCAAGAAGGCCCCCATTGCCGTTATTGTTGGTGATGTGCTTGATGACGTCCGCATGACCCGCATCCCTGCTTTGCGTGTGTGCGCCCTTCGCTTTTCAAAGAGCGCCCGCGAACGCATCACCGGCGCCGGTGGTGAGTGCCTGACGTTTGACCAGCTCGCAATGGTGGCGCCGACAGGGAAGAACACATTCCTGCTGCGCGGCCGCAAGTCTGGACGCGAATCCGTGAAGCACTTTGGAGCGGCGGGCGTGCCCGGCTCTCACGCGAAGCCCTTCACGTCGAACCGCGGAAAGGAACGCCAACGCAGCAGCGCCCGCCGTCGTGCCTTCCGCCACAAGTAAAAACAGTGGGGGGACTGAGAGGCAGCGGGAAGGATGCAGGAGTGAAAAAGGCGCAGCCCGCTCGCACACAAATTTTCTTGGCTTTTTTTTTTTGTTTTTGTTGTGTTTTTTCCCCTTTATTTTTTTCTTATGTGTTCTGTTTTTTTCCTCCTCATCTCCATGCATTTTCCTCCTCCCTCTTTTGAGTGCTGTTTGGTCTGGCACGACCAGGCTCTGAGGAGGGGGAAGGTGAAGTGAAGGAGTGAGGCGCGGGAGGAAACACTCAGGGAGGACACAAACAAAAAGAAAAGGCGTGAAACACTTCTTACGCTTTATTTTTACATCTAATTCTACCAGACGTTTTTTTTTTTTTTTTTTTTTTTTTGGCGGTTCGTTGTGCCCTTTCACGGCCGCGACTGTCCGCCTGTCGCATTCACATGGAGCGAGCTTAACACCCTCACATGCACACACGCCCTCTTTTTTTTTCTTTCTCTTTTGTTGGTTTACCTCCACACTATGTGTTTGTTTGGCGTGGCTGCATGCGTATGCACACATATGTACAATGTGCGCACATGTGAAGTTTCTTTCCCAAAGCGGTAACATCTCTTAAGTATGGCAGAGGAAACACCGGTCCTGGAGGTCAGTCCGGCGGTGGTTGATGCCGTCATGGATGCAACGCCGGAAAACCTCGAAGATGCCCTCCGTATTGTTCTTCAGAAGTCGCGTGAGGTGAACGGCCTTATACGCGGTCTTTCAGAGGTCGCCCGGGCCCTTGACCGCCGCACCGCACACCTCTGCGTTCTCGCCGAGGACTGCGAGGACGAGGAGTACAAGAAGCTCATCACGGCACTTGCAAAGCAGGGCGAAGTGGACCTCATCAACGTTGAAGAGCGTGAGAAGCTTGCGCAGTGGGCGGGTCTGACAAAGATGGACAGCACCGGGGAACTGAAGAAGACATTTAAGTGTTCCTGCGTGGCGGTGCGTGACTTTGGCGAGCGGACGAGAGCACTTGAGTTCCTCCTCTCTCATTTGAGGTGAGCCGAGTCGGAGTTGCGACGCCGGCGCCATCAGTGAAGAGGGAGTTTGGAGGAACAGGGAGGCTGCGGTGCAATGAGCGTGGCGGGGGCGGGGGCACATATGTCTGGAGACTCTCTCGGGGGGTAGGGAGGATTTTTCTATGTTTCCTTGCATTTACACACCCATGCACTCATTTCAGCCCGCATGCTTTTCTTTGGGGATTTTCTGTGGGAAGTGAAGCTGCAATATATATATTCTTTTATTTTATTTTATTTTATTCTTTTCTTTTGTTTTCATGTCTATTGTGCATGATTTCTTGTTCCGCATCATTGCATGAACTGGGCGTCTGCCGACACTCTCTTGGCAAACTTGTTGTCTCGGCTGCATTGCCACCACTCCACCTTTTTTTTTTTTTTTTTGTTTCTTGATTTTTACCTTTGGGGTTATTGTACGGACGCTCGCATTACACCAACGAAGCCATAAGGCTTTAGGGGACCAGTGGAATTTACGGTATTAGCAGAAACGCACCCACCCACCCAAACACGCAGCGGGAATAATTTATTACGCCGTGACGTGTTGGCATGAGTGGTGCACCGTTCATACCGGAGCTGTCGCTCGGTACCGTTGAGACGGGCGGTGGCTGGGGCGTCGGGGAGCAGTTTGCGCGGCTTCCACCGGCGTCCGTGCAGGCGGAGTCTCGGACCCCAGTCTACACGGTGGCCCCAGATAGTGGCGGCTTCAACGTCCATGACTCCGACGACGACTCTGCCACCCAGGAGGAGTCGGCGGAGGCCGAGACGATTGAAGCGGAAGTGGTGCCGACGACACATTACAGAAGACCGTCTATGGAAGACGATAACACATTTATAGATCATGGTAGCACGGTACCGCCGGCATCACCGAGTAAAGACCTTTTTGATAAATTGGAGATGAGAGGAGACGGCGGTGATTATTCGAAGCGGGGGCCAAACTCCATATCTTCACTGCATGTGAAGTTCTTACGTCCTGTATCCCGCATGATGGTAGGACCGCAGGTGCGGGCGATGGTAGTTGCGCCTGATGGTGCGTCCCTATGGGCTGCCTTTGGGGATGATCCAGTCACCTTGTTGGACTTTAAGGGATCGGAGTTAAATATTAGTCGAGCGCTGGACGTCACACAGGTGCACTCCATGGCGGTAGTTCGTGTACCGGTGGCGAAGGCAGTGACATTTAAACCATCTCGTGGGGCGCATCGCCCCAGTTACTTCGTTGCTTCAAAACCGCAGGTGGATGAGGGGGAGGAGGTAGAAACATATGCGCTCTGGTGCGGTGTTACCCGGGGTAGCATTGTCATTGTGGACCTCACTAATTTTAGTATGGCAGGTGTCATTAAAGCTGCACATGCACAGACAATTACTGGACTGTGGTACCTTGGAACCGGAAAGGTCTGGACGGCGGGCTACGATAAGGCGCTAAAGGTTTGGGATCCACAAACCCGGCGTCGTCTGAAGAGCCGAAATATCGCCACCATCATTTCGGATCTCTGTTACGTGCGCAGTTGTAAGCAGGTGTGGACGATCAGCGATGACGCGTATATTCGCGTCTTTGACGCCGCCGGAAATAATGTACAATTGGCGCATCCATCCCCTGAAAAACCAGAGAACACCCTCCGTATGCGAAGTGAGATGCGTTTCATCACCTACTACGAGTCGGCCAATCTCATTTATGTTGCGCTCACCCGTAGCCTTGCCGCCATTGACCCGTCAACGTGTGGCATGCCTGTCGTCATCAACGCCACCATCAGCTCTATGACATTCCTGGAGAACACGGCGCTTGTGACCGGCTACGGCGAGTGGCTGCAGTGCACGAAGGAGGCGATTGGCCTCATCGACCTCAGCGACCCGTACGTGCCGTCGCTACTCTTTCGCGGAGGTCCACTGGGAGGCAGCGTCACACCCGTCCGCATGCGATTTCTTACCGCCGTTCCGTTTGCCGTCGTGGCGCAGGAGGCGGGGCGATCAGAGCGCTATCTCTCCGTGTTCAGCTACGAGGACTCCAAGGCGTTCTGCAGGAGTGGGGGCGTGACGTCGATCCCGCAACAGAGAAAAATTACACTCGAAGCTCCGAGCACACGGCGTCCAGTGGCGGCGTCGCAGCACGCGCCCTCGCCTTCTTTCGCTGCCGCCACGTCCACACCGACGTCAGCGCTTTCGCCGTATCCGATCGTGTTTGCCACAGGCAAGCGGGGCAGCGTGATGCGTGAGGAAAGCAACTTGAGCAGTGGGCACCCGCAGCGTGCCGCCGTGACCTCCTCGAGGGCGGATGGCAACAACCAACGCCACCGCCATCAGCACAGTCCTTCCGCCCCATTCTCCCAAAATTTTACACCAATACAAAATAGCAATAGTAATAACGCCGCCGTTGCCGCCAACACCGCTGTCAGCAGCAGAAGTCAGAGCACTACCGCTGCCATGAGGACGTCGACTGCCATCTATTCAGAGAATAGCCGTAATCCTAGCAAAAGTGGCATCAACGGTGGCGCAGAGAGAAGCGTCGCGGTGCAACTTACAACGCCCCCGGAACTAATGACATCACTAACCAAAATTGAAAACAAAACAGAGGATCTGAAGGCATTGTTTGCCCAAATAAGTGCTCCACGCCCCCTGCTAGACGACTTCTCCAAGTTGCACGCTTTAGTCTCTCGCATGGCAATGAATAACCAGCTAGGACTCAACCTTGATGAGGAGGAGATGGAAAATATTGAGCGGGATTACCATTCACTCGAGGGCCGTGTCATTGCTACAGCCGTGGAGCGCCTGCGTAAGACTGCAGCCGCTTCGTTACTATCTTCTGTACCGAACTCCACGCGTCTCCGTGACAACTCTGGAAGACGTGACAATGTTAGCAGTGTTGCGGTAACATCCCCATCCGTGGTAGAGAAGCGGGCAAATGCCGTGACGGAAATTATGAATAGCAGCAAGGCGGAGGAGACCGCGGGTTCTGTTGGCGGGTCAGAAATTGCACCAGAATCATTGTTGCGCTGGGTTGCGCAAATCACGAGATCTGGACAGGGTGAGAGGGAGTCCCACCGGCGACAGCTAGAAAGCTTGCAGCGCCACAATACACGCATTGTAGAACGTAACGCAGCACTCATCAATGGGATCGTACGCGTGGAACAGGCCATTCGTACACATGCACAGCGATTACTCGAGGACGCGGATGCTGCCGCGGCCGTCATTTCATCCGATGCTAGCTGTGATTCCTCCGCCCATTTGCACGCCCAGCGGCACATTCAGCTTCTTAACCAATCACTGCAGCAGATCGAACAGGTCTCTGTCTCAAGTTCCCCCAAGGAGATTACGGAGGCGATGGGAAGTTTTGTGACACTGATATCCCGCTTATTCTCCACTCAGCAGGTCTTGCACGGTGACGAAATCGCACGACGTGCCCCCTATGATTTTTCATCTGGAAACGCACATAACGATCAAGTCTTCGACACATCGCGTGCTTCGGCTCAAAACGGGAGCACCCTTTTAACCACACGCTCGCACTTCTCAAGGCCTACCGTGACGTCTGTTTTGTCTATGCGACCGCAACGAATGCGAGGCATCGTTGAAGATCAAATCGCCTCCGTTGAGGAATTTGTGAAGGATGTTGGGAAATTCTGGAGCCGCCTGGAGGAGACGCAGAAGGTTATATACGTACCGTACGAGAGTGGGGCCAAACCTGATCTTTTCCAGGACTTTATGCAGTTTGCCGTCCTCTGGCACTTGCGCGAGGCGCAGGTTATGGTGGATGTCTGTCGGAAAGAATCCGTTATGGTAATGGCGGAGGTCCTTCTGGGTGATATTGAAAGTAGGGAGGGCGTGGTGGGTAGCAACATGGCGGCCCCCAGGCGCACCAGCGCCCCCACCACTCTTCTCTCTTCCACAGAGAAGGCGATGCACAGCGGTGGGGAGAAGAACCCCAACAGCGCCGATATAAAAAAGAGCAACAAAGGCGGCAACGCCAGTATCTTGGTGGTACCCGCTGCCGCTGAGGCGATACGAAGCGACTCGGCACGTTTGGTCAGCATCGGCCTGGAGTTGGAGTCCGTCGCCTCACGCATTCGTGAATCACTTAAAGCGGCAGAGCAAAATCTTCAAATGGGAGTTGCGAAGGAGACCATTGGAGGGTTTTTCTCAATTCCAAATGAGAAATTCTTTATTGACGCTACAAAACTTCGTGGGATGTTGTATTGGGAACGTGTCTCTATGCACCTCCTCTACGAGTGCCTGGAGTGCCTTGAAGAGCTCGTGTTCCACTGCGATGAACAGCCGCGTGCGTTCCGTAAAGACAACTTTAAGGCTCTGGAACAGCAGGTAGTGGATTGGCGTCTCTTTTTGGAGGATGTACACGGGGAATGCACACAGCTGCGTTCCGTTATTCTGTCGTCTCAGCAGGAGAGTTGTACAGGGCGAATGTCGGCAGCAGCGACAGCGAGTTCAGTTGTATACGATCGCAGTAGTTCTTTAGGCTCGCGGGAGATGAGCCGTAACAGTGATGGAGATACGACTAGTACGGAACGAACCACACAGTGGGTGCTGCTTTTTGGTCTATACGTGCAATACGCCGAGCGGACCGACGCCACGCCGTTGCTGTTTGCATCTCATGATCCCGGAGACACCGTGAGTGCAGCCGACTTTGGGCTAATGGCGCTACTTGACGAAGTTGCAGAAATAATGGAGACAGTGCGTGCGAAGAGTGCGGCTCTGCTGCGTTACTGCCAGAAGATACAGGGTCGAATCGCCCGCGTCGTTGAAGATGTCGTGGTGAATGAGGAGACGGGACAAGTGTTTGTTCCAGCGTGTCGCGGAGGTCCCATTGCGGAGCGGTACTGTAAAGGGTTTTGTCACGATATGAGCTGAGAAAAGGGTGTTTATAAAACTATATAAGTATGCATGTATGTATGTGTATAATATATGCGTGTGGAGGTCATGTGGGGGAATGGTTAGAAACATTGTTGTTGTTGTTTTTGTTTTTGTACCGTGCAGCCTTGTTGAATACGGATGTATAAAGTTTCCCCCCCCATGCGCATATCGTGTCCTTGTGATTGCCGAAAAGGAACGAACAGATCCCAATAAAGAGCATGAGAAGGATGGGGGAAAAGGAAAAACAACAACAACAACAACAACGACAAAAAACACGCAAGCGAAGTACCTGCGGCAGACCAATACACAGGGGAGGGAAACTGTGTGTGTGTGTGTGTATTTCTTGGCGTGAGGGCTGTAGATATCCCTGAGGCGGGGAACGAAGGGAAGCGAGGCAAATCTTTTTTTTTTTTTTTTTTTCACTTTGCTACCTGACGAGGACGGGTGGGGAGGGGTGAGGCATTTCCATGCAAGGAGCACACACACACACAAAAAAAAAAAAAAAAAAAAGAGGGGCGGGAACAACAGGGAAGAGACGCAGTCGCAGAAAATGTACCGAGGCAACCAACCGGCCCTATTTTAATCCATTGTGGCAAACAACACAATAAAACACTCACCCAATACCCTTAAAATAAAGCGACGCGGACATGCATGTGGGCATTAAGTGTGTGTGTGTGTGTGTGTGTGTGTGTCTGTGTGAGGGGTCGGAGGAGGAGCCAACGGCCAATTTTACTTTTTCTTCTCTCTTTCTCTATATATATATATATCATTGCTGGTTTTGTGCGTGGTTGCGCTGGCGCAATACCGAAGTGTACACCCTCCTTCTTCTTCTTGTGTGTTTCTCTCTCTTTTTTTCTCTCACTCTTTTTTATTTTATTTTATGTGCCTTTTTTTTTTTCCTCTTGTTGTTGTTTTTGTTTTGTCTGTGCCTTTGTAAAATAAATAAATACATCCATCCATCCATTCGCACACAAACACACACCTCCGTTTATTTATACATCCGCACGGTGGCGGGGGGAAGTGGGAGGGGGGGAGGAGAATACATGCAAAAATGAATCCGACACGAAATCTTTATGAAGTGCTGGAGGAGAAAAACCCACGACAAATAAAAAAGGAAAAAAAAAAAGAAAAAAAGGTGCAACAGGAACTTTTCTTTTTTTTTGGTTTGACTGCCCCCCTCTCTTTCTTTTTCTGCATGAAATCACCCGACAGACGGGAGGGGGGAGCGCGGCGATGGTGGTTGTTGTGGCGGGCGAGACAGACAGACAGAGAGCGAGGGAAAGAGGGGAGGGAATAATTCCCAATTAAGTGCATCGCATTGTTTTGTCTTCTTCTCCACCGCCCCCTTTTGGGCTGCCGACGGCCCGCAGCGGAGAGGGGAGGAAGAGAAGGGTGTTGCGTGAGAGAGTGAGACTGGGAGTGTGCAGGCACACGGATGGATGAATAGGCGGAGTGGGGTGGGTGGGGGGGGGGAAACAGCGTAGACGCAAAACAGGATCTAAAAGAAATAAAAAGAAATAAAAAAAGAGAGAGAGAGAGAGAGAGAGAGGGAGACAGAGAGACAACTTTTTTTTTCCTTCTTTTTTTTTAATGTGTTTTTTTTTTTTTTTCAGTGTGGAGAGGCGGGTGCATGGGTGGGGTGCGCACATTGAAATAATAATAAAATAATAAATAAAAGGGCCTTGTGGACTGCAGGGAGGACTTTCTGCGTACTTCCGTGCGTTTTTCTCTTTTTTTTTCTTTCTCTCTTTTTTTTTCTTTCTCTCTCTCTCTCTCTCTTTCTCACCCATTGACGTCAGATGTATGTGGTGATTTTTTCCCTTGCATTCTAAAAGGAGACAAAACAAGAAGAAAGAAGGAAGCAGCGGGTGGGATGGACAGGCTTTCCATCATGTTTTATCGGATCAATCCGCATGATTATCCCCTCTTCATGCAGTGCGAGCGCAGCAGCGAGCAGCCAGGGGCCATTCTTATGGAGTCCCGCGTGTTACAAGGCATCCGTTACACGGTCTCTCTCGGATATCTTTTGTCGATTTTGTATTTTTATGGTTATCATCGTCCCCGTCTGCCTTTTGCCGACCGCCCCTTGGCGAGGCTGCACCATTACTTTTACCCGAGCGCAGGGTACAGCACCCCAATTGGCATTTCTATTGGGTTGGCGTATGCTTGCTTCTACGATGGACACGTGGCATGCTCAGAGGAAAATGTCACGCGTGAGGCAAAACGCGAACGTGGCAGAGCAGTCATGGCATGGAAGCAGCACATGCAGAGGCAAAGAGAGGAGGAAGAGGCGGCGCAAAAGCGTCGTTCGTGGTGGAATCTCCTTATTTTCTCCAAAGCACCCGTTTCGGATTGCAGAACATCCTACGAGGAGTTCTTGGATCGTAACGGTGTCTTGAGTGTTGGGAGGCAGGCGGCTGAGGTGGAGGATGCCAGTTTTTATCAGCTCTACAGCAAGCAGCAGGTGGATGCATTAGTGAGCGCGGCAATGAAATTGCGACAGTCACCCGAGGAGCAGCGTTGGCTGTGGACCGCGAGTCGTCTGGGAAGTTATGGCGTCCTTGGAATGCTGCTGACGTGGAACAGTGGCGGGATGTTTTTTCGGTCGTTCATGGGGCTTGGACTTGGCGTCGTCAGCGGCGCCTTCATCTCTGGGGTGAAATTGGATTCCTGAAGCAAGGAGCTCCTCGAGAATGCGTGTGTGTGTGCCTTTGTAACGAGAGGGATTGTCGCTTCTCACAATCTCGTGGTTGTTATGGAAGGGCATCTGGACACATTTTACGTGCCGTTATGCTGGTTTCTGTCTCCTCCCCTAGCTTCTCTTTTTCTTTTCTTTTTGTTCTTTTTGCTTGCTCCAATCTACCATGCTTTTTGTACATTGTCGTGCTCAATGTACGCTGATGGGGGAGGAACGGCGTCACGGTCCTGCGGAGCAGTTTCGATGTCGTCGCGTGAGTCTGCTGTGAAGGAGACAGTTGACCCCGCCGACATCTTACGTCAATTTATTCTTGCTGCGCCACCCGGCGAGCTAACGAGCGTTTTAAAGGCACTACGTGTGTTGACAGGCGATGATCGTCTCTTCTTTGAGGTCGTCCCACGTCTTTGCATGGAACACCATATGCGTCATTTGACGCCTTTTACTTTGGCAGCCCCATACGCCAAGCGGCACGAGAGCAAAGTGCGGTTCGTGGATCCCCAAAGCTGTGCCAATGTTGCAGGTAGCCACGTCTCTTTCTTGGCCGGGAGGCAGAACCACCTCGTGACACGTATAAAGCGTTTCGCCAAGATACGTCGCCTACAAGCCCGTGAAGTGACAGCGAGGGTGGAGGAGTACTTTCTACAGCAGCGTTCAACGATTACTCCCACGAGTGCCAACTTTAAGCAGGGGATCTACCAAAGCGTGGAATTGGACGACTCCACTGGCGAGTCTTCTGCCAGCGGACAGTCACAGGCACCTCAGCAGCAGCAACAGCAGCAGCAACAGCAGCAGCAGGAACTGTTTGATCCTTTTGCCGATATTTTGCCATCTGAGGGGTTTGATGAACTCAATCATGTGTTTTTTGATGTGGCACTGCAGCTGTACATCGAGGTTGATCCTGTGGCACAACTGTGTGTTCGTGTAATCCCGTTTACTTCTGCCGTGGCGCCAACAATGCCGGAGGTGCTGAGGGAGATTGAGCGGCAGGCCACAGGACTTCACGGTGGGCCTCTCGGCCACACCCGGTTTTTGCTTCAACAGGAAATTTCCCGTTATGTGCAAGCATGTTTTGGGGAGGAGGCGGAAGAGACTGCGATGCAGGCGGAGCGGGGGATGTCCCACCTGATGGGGTCTGCACGAAACCTAGTTGACATCCACCACCGCACATCTATTGCCAGCGCAGGAGGCATGGCCGTTCTTCAGCCGCATTCCCACAGTGGCGGGGAGGATTGCCAATCGCTTGTCATTGCGGTCGCGGCGGTGCGTCAATTCCCGCGCAACATGTGGTCTGGGCGGTGGAAGTCTATCTTTGTTGTGGAACCCACCAAGGACACGTCGTCTGAGGCGCAGGTCTACATCAAAGGCGAGACACAGGTCTACGCGCACTACTACGAGGACGGCAACATGCACCTGGAGGTTGCACAGGAGTTGCCGCTCACGTTACTGCCCGAATGGCCTGTGGAAATATTCACGGCTGGTGGTGATCCGACGGGATTACCGGATGCATGGGATTTGTGTGCCGCCGTAATGGCGGTCATTCAGCAGCATGAGCAACGTATCCACGACGCCGTGTTGAAGACCGCGAGGGACTCTGGTGATCGTGCACTGCGGGACCTTCGGCGGAGATTGCCCATTACGAAGCAGTTATTTAATTTTAGGGGTGGACAGGCTCTTCCACGGCCGATGTTCACAAGCACTGCGTTAGAAAATTAGCGATGTCCCATCATCCCGAAAGATGTGCGAGCCAAATTGAGGGACCGTGAGAAGGACATGAAAAGAAACAAAACTAAACAAAAACGAAGGGCGGTGGGTCGAATTTGTTTTTATTTCTTTTTTTTTTTTCTCCCGTTTTATTTTTATTTTTATTTTTGTGTTTGCTTGATCCCTCATGACATTGGCTTCTTTTTTTTTTTGTTTTGTTGTCGCTCTGCTACTTGGAACCCGGCGCACCTCCACAGCGTTTAGAGAAGTGTGAAGAGGCACTGCTGCCTGCGTGAATACACACTCGTTTGTGGATGAGCCCAGTGCGCACAGCCGTCGTGGCGGGAGGAGGGGCGCTGCGGCTGCTGCGCTCCATTCATCTGCCCTGCGCGGCCTTTCATCGTTGCGGTTTCTCCTCGCGGGGATGTCGTCGTGGCGTCTTGTCGGTGCCGGTGGAGGATTTGACGCCGAAATCCATTGCGTTGTTTCACTCGTACGGCCCCCCGACATCCGGCACCGTCCCAGTCGTCACCGATACGACTGCCTTCACTCGAATTCTCAACGACGTGCTGGTAAGGGATGATTCAGGCGCCAATGATGTCATACGTAACCTCCGCCGCTTCTTGAGGCAGAAGCGTGAGGAGCTGGCGCCGCTGCTGGCCGAAAAACACCGCATTGACGCCGTTGTAGACAACCGCTATGTCCCGCTGTTAGGTTGCCTCGTCCTCGCCTTTCTTGTGACGCAGTTTGTTGTGCTTTTCCGCTGGGCATTTATTGTGTTTGATTGGAATCTTGTGGAGCCGATGACTTACTTTCTTGGCTACACCGTCGTGTGGGCGGGCATCGTTTTTCACTGTTACTACGCACGGGAGTTGACGTGGGAGGCGATGCTCGACACGGTGGCTCACCGCCGTCGAGCACACTTATACGAAAAGGCAGGGATCGATGTGAAGAAGGTGGAACGACTGCAGCGGGAGGTTTGCGGGATTGAAAGGATGCTGTCAAAGTATGGATTGCAATGACGCCAGTTTCCAATGGGCCGGACAGCAGCATCGAGAGGAAGTCTTGTCTTTTTTTTCATTTTTTGTAGTTTTCTTTTCTTGTATTTTTCCCGTTTACCATCCATTTTTTTTTTTTTTTTTTTTTGCAGAAGAGGGCGGTGATGCCATTTGTTGTGCGTTTTGCTCAGGGCAAAGACAACGACGTCTTTCGCGACGCCGCAATAATTCGAGATTCCATTTTCATGCAGGAGCAGGGTGTGCCGGCCTCGCTGGAGCACGACAGCCATGACGCGTACGCCATTCACCTCGTCCTCTACGACGAGGATGCCTCTGACAATCAAAAACAACGGGGAGGAGAAAAGAAGTCTCTGCCAATTGCAGCGGCGCGGCTTCGTGTGGTCAGGCACTGCGGAGTCCATGCGTACGACACACCCGTTGTGAAGGTGGAGCGTGTGTGTGTGCGGCGACCGCACCGCGGCAAAGGGTGTGGGTTCTTCCTCATGCAGGAGGTGGAGAAGTACGCGAGGGAGAAGATGGGGATTTCGACACTCGTTCTTCATGCAAAGACGCCAGTAAAAAAATTCTACAAACGCCTTGGCTTCCACGAGACATCGGATGAATTTATGGAGTCCAACATATCGCACATCACGATGTCGAAGATGTAAACTTCCCTCCCTATTGACTCTGCACACTGGCGAAATAGTGCCGGTGTTCATTAAAACAAACCCCTCTGCCATTTGTGGGTTTTTGCGCTGTGGGGCGGTCATTCAATGCATTCTCACGAGTGGTGGAGGGAGTGAAACGTCATGGTTATTTATTTATTTTTTAGTATTATTATTTTTTTTTTCCTTTAGGAGCTTGTGAAGACAATGATCGCGGGAGGGCTGGCTGCCCTAATGAATGTATATATCCCGATAAAACGAGTACATATTTCTCCACGGCACTTTTCCTATCTTCTGCATTTTTGGGAAGGCCACGACTTTTAGTAGGGGCGGAGCAGGGGACCGATGACGTCTGAAATAATGTTTTATTTTTACTTTTTGCCTTCCCACCCTCTTTTTTGACTTCCTCCGCCTTGCGGCGGGTTCTTGTGGGAGGACGACCTCCAAAGTCTGCCCACTTTGTAAGCAATAAATATTTCAAATCCTAGCCATGCGCAAAGGCCACGTGAGTGGACAACAGCACATTTATAGTTTTTAGCAGAGGAAACATTGAGGCAATTAACTGCCTCTGCATTGACTCCTCCTCATCTTTATCGTTTGGTTTCCTTAAGTAATTTCAGGGTCCGGTCAGCGGCCCATAAGATTGTTCTAGCATGGCTTTGTCCCTGCTCCTCATATATATATATATATTTTCTTTGTTTCATCTCCATAACCGCTGCTGCTGCCGTTGTGTGCCCTTCTGTTCACATCTTTTCAGCCAATGACGCGGCCGGCCGGCTTTTTTTTTTTTTTCTGTCTTTTTTTTTTCTATGTGCGGTTTTCTTCCCTTTTTTTTTTTTTTCACGTCTATTTGGTTGCGCAGGGAGAAGGAGGGGGGTGAAGTGGGGCGTCCCGAACACTTCTCACTTTTTTAAATTTTTTTTTTTTGTGTGTCTCGCTTGGGATGCATCGGCCTGAGCGTCTTGTCATCAGCGGCTCCGTCACTCCCGCCGGCCACCCACGGCGGAAGGGGGCCGCACCGGGGCGTCTGTCGTCGGGCGGACCATCACAACAGCGGCGGCAGCAACAAAACGATCTTGTGGACTCGCCGCAGGCCCTGTCCAGCGCCACCACCACGACGGTGTCATCACGGACAGTTTCTTCCTTGTGCCCTTTTCAATTTGGTGCAATGCCGACGGTACTCGACCCAAGTCACGGTAACGCCGTCTCTGCAGGGCCTCAGTCCTCGTCCCCGCTCCTCCCGCAGGGGCGCCAAACTACTGCGCCAAGTGGCAACCATGTGCTGTCTGTTTTAGAGGGGCCACTTCCAGCAGAGATACGTGAGATCATCCACAGCCAATGCAGCGGGGAGCCAGCGGAGGTGGCGGAGCGACACGCCAGGCGGCTGCTGAGTACGCATCGCCGTGTGCGCGTGTACCGCGAGGAACTGCAGAGCGCCGTAGAAGAAGTGGGCGATGTGGCACAGATGCTGCAGCGTCACCAGACTGTACAGGATGCGTTGCGAGTGGAATTGAAGGACTTGGACGCCCAAATAGAACGATTGGTTCGTGAAAGGCAGCTATGTGAGCTGCAGCTGAGTCAGGAGGACGAGGCGCGGCAGCGGGATGAGGTGAAGCTTCGCGATGCAAAGGAGCGGGTGAATGTTCTCCGCTCGACCATAGACACCATCACGCAGGAGTCGCTGGCAGGTTACGTCGTGCTGCGTCAGCTGGTGCCGAACCTGAACGTGGAAAACTACGTCGCATAGAGAAGTGGGGAGGTGAGGGTTGCGGGACGGAGTGAGACCGAAATAGAGAGAGAATGAAAAAGACCGCCTCTCTCTCTGTGGACTTTATGCATGCATTTGTATACATGAACATTGTCATTTCTTTCTCTCTTTGAGTGAGTGAGGGCACGTTGTTTTCTCTCCTGCCGTGTTGTGAAGTCCGTTGTGGTGAATTCCTTCCTTTTTTTTTTTTCTTGCGGTTGGGTGCTTGCTTTTCTCTTTTCCGCGCCGATTGCGGGAAACGGACAAAAATACCAAACAAACAAGCGGGAAGAGGAAAAAGCGGAATGCAGCAAAATGAGTTTAACAGCGTCGAGGCGGAACTCCGCGAGATTGAGGAGGATTTTGCGTCGGGTCAAATGAACGCCTTTGGGACGGCCGCTACAAAAGAGAACTTCGTCCGTGAGCTCCGCAGGATTGCGGACATTGAAACACAAGTCTTCTACAAGACATGCGGGCTGCTAAGCGCGAGCACCTCGGAGGACCACCTCATGCGGGCGATGATGCTTGCGAGCGCGGATGCACCCTGCGCGGGGGGCGGTGGTGGGGCTGCGAGCAGCAGCAACAACAGCGATGAGGGCAACACCACCGTGGCGACAACGCGTTCCTTCGGGCGGGAGAACAACAGCAGTAATAGCTACGCCACCAAGTCCATGAAGAAGGACGTGGCAAACCCGCCAAAGATGTCCGGTGGCTTTTCGCCCGGGTCCCCGTCGGAAAGCAGGGGCCCAGGCACAGGGGATTCGGCGTCGCCGGGCTTTAGTGACGCAGGGCCGCCGCCATGGAGCAACGAAGCGGGGTTCACCGACAGGCCTTTCCAAGACGTCGCTCGACACTTCAAACTGCTGGAGGGGGAATTCACTGCGATTGGTGAGCACCTGCGGCAGATTTCAAAGCATGTGCTGCAGCTCAACGAGATTGCCGAGCGGGTGAGGAGTAAGGGCTCCAACCTCGGGCCATGACTTTTCACTCCGCTTCAACAAATGCGAGTGCATATATATATATTAAATCATGCATCCCATCTTCTTGTGTGATCGGTTTCTTTCTTATATCCCATCCATAGACCCGGTGTTGGGCGGGAGGGGAGGGATAAAACAAATGGACGAGTCAAACAATTGATACGCTCTCATCAAAACGAACAACAAACAAACAAACGAAAAAGAAAGCGCATGTCAGGCAAATTTTTTTTTTTGCAATGATTCAATACATTTCATCTGTTGCCATTACTTTTTCTTTTTTCTTTTTTTTTTATTTTAATTTTTTGAAAACTGTGCGATGGGGACCGACGCGGCAAACGTGTGACAAATGGAGGAAGCAATCATGAGTGACATCATCCTTGTGGAGCCGTGCGCGTTTTACATTTTAGGGGATCCGGTTGCGGACGACACGGAAACAACATGCAGGACGCGGAAAAGTTCCGCTGGTTTATTGCCTGCGTCGCACACCCATGCAGCACTATATGAGTGGATCCGCAAGTTCTTGGAGAGCGGATGGGGGAAGTGTCGGGGTGCGACTGCCGGACTGTGTGAGCTGGTGGAGGCGGAAACTGCTCTCCGCGAATTGATCGCACTTGATGAGAGCCAAGTTTACATGCACCGGATCACTAGTTGTCATCTGGCATGCCTACAGCGCGAAAAACAGCGGTGGGAGCGTGAGCTTGCAATGAGAGAGGCAGTAACAAAGTATCAACTGCAGCGGCTGCTTCATTTGGAGCATCACTTCCACCCCGCGAAGGGTGAAAAGTCAGTAGACACACAAAGTACGCTGCACCAGGCGGGTTTTTTGATGAAGGAGATGCAAGAGTGCCTTGCGGAGTTGCATGCACCGGTGCTAATACGTGCCCAGGAGGCACAGAAGTTCGCAGAGGACCGGCTACAGGCGTTAATGCGGGTGCTGGAGCATCAGACAGGGAGACTGAGGTCAACACAGAAGGCGCTAAACGATGTTTGTTTGGCGCTGAACGATTTAGCGGCCCGCGCCAATGTGGAGGCACGCTGCAAGGAGGGCAGCGAAATTGTGCATGCAGCGATCCGTGAGGAGGATGGCGTGTTTTGCACCCCAAAAGAAGTGATAGACGCCGTGCAAGAGAGAATTACCGAGCTGGAGATGCGGCGAATGCACACGGCTTATGAGGCGAACTCAACTGGGGCAACAAATGACACGTTTGACGCATTGACAGTAGCGGTGTGCCGATTGGAGGAGACACGAGCTGACTTCTATGCCTTGGGCCGTCGCTTGGGTCCAGTTGACTCCCGAGTAGCCCCAGAAGTACTCGGTCACATTAGCGAAGTTGATTTTATGAAACCGCCGCTAACACCGCCAAAATTTTTATCACCGTCATTGTCATTCTCCCCCTCTGCAAACGTCGGCCCCAAGGGTTTTGTAATGGAATCCCATGCCTACGAGATTCACCAGGCAGTCTTGCATGAGCAGCGGGAGTTAGTTATGATGTTAAATGACATATGGGGTATGCGTCCGCTCCTTCTTCGTCTTTGCACGGAAGACGATGCCGAGCAATACGCACAGCGGCCCCTGAGTCTTTATGCGGGGCACAGTCTCTCGCTGCATCAGTGGATAGACGTGGACGGGAACCGGCCGACGAAACGGGCAGCCGTTTTTTACCCGACACCGCCTGAACGTCGTGGCGAGGTGCCAAAGGAGCATCTGGAGTCTGTACTCGTTGAAAAAGCCAGGGAGGTACGTGATGCGCTTGACATCATCGATCTACGTGCTGAAGGCGAAAAGGCCGGCGCATATTTTACGGGCAACGCCGCTTTCTTCTCAGCGGATGGCAAATTTATGTATTGTTGTTGCGGTACCGCTGATACGTGTACCGATGCGAGACGCACGTTGATGTTGCATGTTGTGGGGATGCTGCGCCGCCGACTCGGTGTGCCGTCTGCAAACTGTTTTTGCTATTATTCTTCTTCCTTCCCTCTTGCTACGAGTCTTGGCTGGGTTGGCGCTGGCGTCTGCGCATGGGCACTGGATGAGATGCGGTTTGCTTCGCACGAAGAGAAGGAGTCATTTATGTTGCACCTCCGCGAGACGTATCGCACCGTCATTCGCCTTACACGGGAAGAGGTGAGGAATTTTGCCGGTGAATGCGTGGAGATCATCTCTTACTCGCCGAATTACGGGCCGACGAGGCGGCGGCTTGTCATCTCGTCTCACGCTCTCCGCTCACTGTCGGAGCATAACCGCTCCACACTGATGGCGTGGTACGGCGAGGGTGGGTGCATCGTGCCGGATTTATCAACGATTGAACGCATGGGTGGGTATTCAGCGAGGTCGATGCTGCTGACTGTCGTGACGCACGGCTCGGATACGCCACCGCCAAGTGGCCATGGATTCTTCTCATTCATTGGCATTAGGGCAAGGGAAAGGGAGAGTGCATGCATGGAAGTTACAACTACTTACAAACGGAAGCCAAATTGACTGTCTTTTTTTTTTTTTTTTCTTGCAGGACAATTGATCTTTATTATTATGACGATTATTATTTTAGTTATGACTGTTGATTTATTGTGTTGTGGCTGCTGGTAGTGTATACGTGCGGCCTTATTTATCAACGCCGACACTTAACCCCTTTTTCTCCTCCGCTGCTCGCCCGACAAATTGGGCGCGGCCAGTGAGTGGTCGACAAAATTGCGGTGGGGGATGACTTGAATGAATGGCAGTTTTCTCCGCCTGAGTCTTCATTTGTAATTCGCCCCCTTCTCATTCGGTCTTCGGTTTCTTCTCTTACTGTGCGCATGTGCTCACCTCTCCCAATGTACACTCACTCTCCCGCTCTCTCTTTGGCTTTTTCTCTCTTACAGCCACGTGTGCAATTCCTTTTTTTTTTTTTTTGCTGCGTGTGTGTTTGTGTTTACTCCGTCCTCCATTTGCTTTTTTAAGGGTGTTTTTGTTTCCTCTCCCGTCGAGATTGCTGGGTGAGGGCGACCACGTTGCGAACCACGTGTGTGTGTGTGTGTGTGTGTTTGTGGCGGAAGGGACGTAGGACGGCTACACAAGCGAACAAACACACACACAGACAGAGACACACGCCGAATATCATACAGTTTTTTATCTACCATCATTTAGTAAAGTAAAATTTTGCATTGCGACGCCTTGCGTGGGGAGGAGGAGTGTACATTTGATAAAAGTGAGCGATGAGTGAGGTACTTCTTCTGCTTTCCATGGCGCCTGCCAGTAACAGTGGAGGGTCTGAGAACCCTTCTATGCATTCCCTCTCTGCTACCCGCTCCCTGCATTTGGGAGACGCAACTTTCGGAGAGGGAATTCACCCGTCGGTGGACGATTTCCAAGTAAAATGTGTTGGGCTCCATCAACCACCTCTTCACGAGGAGGAGCGTCACCAGCGCATGTTGATTATGTTAGAGTGCCAGTTGGAGTTTATGACGCTAGTGATGTGGTGCTTTGCAATAAGAATGCGGATTGAAAAGGAGCTTTTGCGGGGCCGGATGCAATCCGTTCAGCTGCAGGAGGCCACTTTGCAGCACCGCATGACTCGCTTTGCCCATGTGGAGGATCGCTTTGGGCGCCCTGTGAGAAACCCTACATGTCGTCTGCTCCTGCAGGATGAGTTTTTTGAGAGGGAACACATTGCGTTACAAGAGACCGTAGAGTTCTTGAACGTTTGGGCAAGGATGATACCCGCACGGATTTCTATGATGCAGGGACCTGCTTTTTTTGCTGAGGTCATGGCAAGTTTACGGAGTCAAGGACATGCGGCATTCTTCTTTGGACCAAATGTATTGGCCACAGCCTATCCAGACAAACGCCTGAGTGCATTGCGCAAGACTGTTCGGGGCCTAAAAAGCGATCTCGCCACTATTCACAGCGAGGCGGAGGTGCTCAGTTTCACACTGGATGAGGAGTTTAAGGACGACGAGGCGGAAATCACCCTGAATGCCATGAAGGCAGGTGAAGAAGGCGAGGTGTTGACTGGAAGGGATGCGGATTACTGTGCCAATGTCATGCGACTGGCCACGAAGCAGATGGACGAGCTACGCGGCAGTTTGTTTAGGCTTACGGAGAGGCTGCACGAGACGGAGCAGTCTCTGACTAGCACCAAAAGATCCTTGTTGGATGAGAAGGAGCACAGCGCACATTTGCAGGAAATTTTGAACGCCACAGAGGAGATGGCGGCGGCGGTGGCATCGCAATGCCAGTTAGGCTCTTCTCGAGACAATTCATCTGCCCAACACGAAGATGTCGCGAGACAGTCGAGGGACGCACCATCGACATACACGAAGGGGGTGCTGCAGGAGCTCCGTCGATCGATGTTAATGTTGAAAAAAGAAGTAGATTGGCAGAAGGAGAGGGCCCAGCGAGGGTTTCGTGACCGCGACGCGGTGCTGGAGATCGTATACACCCAGGTGGAGAGGTTAGCAGCTCTCATGCCACCTTCACATTCCTTGAATGAATTGAAAAGGGAGGATATTAACATGACGAACATTGCCTCTATCATGGAGGAAATCATAGCAGGTGTGATGGCTCTGAAGAATGATCGCAGCAGCAACTGTGTGAAGGATGTCCAAACCCCTAAGACTGGGCCCGAAGAGAGGGAAGTCGCAGCGATGAAAGCGACCATTGAGCAACTGCGTTCAACGATTGAGCTGCTGTTGTCAGAAAAAGGCAAGGCAGGTGATGGTCGCCCTGCTGTTGCGTCTGCCGCTCCGCCTGTGCCCGTTTTAAACAGTCAGGCGGATGTACTGACGATGGCGCTCCGCCGTCTTGAGGAGGTGCGGGGTGAAAAAATAAAGTTGGCTCACGAGCTTGAGGAGATGCGACGGCATCCACGGCTTGCGGGCTGGAGGTCGCGTCACGAAACCGCCACTGCGGAGAGTGAGGAAGAAGCAGAGCATGATGACAACATGTGGGTGCAGTCCGTTCACCGTCTTTCGGAGGCCAACACACTTCTACAGGAGGAATTGAGGCTGGAGCGGGAGGCCGGACAGTCGCTGAGGACGAAGCTTAAGGAATCCGAGCGTTTTATAACTGAGCTGCAGAAGCAGTGCCGTCGACTACGCCTGAGTGGACGCATTGATGTGTGCGAGGTCATTGAGCAATCAGGGAGTGACAGGGATGACGATGACGAGGAGGAGGACTCAGACGACAGCGGCGGTGATAGTACCGCGCGTATTACTTTCGAGGAGAAAAAACAAAGGGAGGTGGTAAAGAACACAGAGGGGATGGGCTTGGGTGAGCAGATGTCTACAGAATTCTACGCTCAGTCTCATTCACCGCACTCTACGGTGTTGACAGACACCTCATGTTCACTGGGGCCACTAGTTGGGGCCCTAGGGTCGTCCCATTTTATGGATCAGGAGAATCATATGGCCTGTGTGCGAGATCAGAAAAGGTTGGTGAAGGCACTGCGTGGTATGCACGGCATTAAACTTGCTACACTCCTCATTGGGAAAGGAAGCCAGCTGTCATTGTGTAACATGCATGAAATTCTGAATATGTTTATTGCCTGCAGTATCTCATTGCACACATTTTTTAAAGGCACTGGAGCTTCTGCTCTTTTGCTGCGACACGTGGCAGTTATTTATCCGCTTCCACCCAATGAGATGCCATTTTTGCATTGGCGTCGAATGCTGCACCCCCTCAAGTACCAACGAGGATCATCGTCTAAGGAGAACAATGGGCCATCCGTGGAGGTTTTTGACCTTTGCGAGGAGTTTCAGGCCTTAGGAAGGTACCTGCGCGGGTGCATGGATGTCTGTTTTTCCCACGATGGTCGCTTTATGTATGCACTAACTTCTGCAGATTCAACTGTCATTGCGCGGTTGTGCTCGTCTGAGTGTCTTAACATTCCTGACGAACACCAATTTCGTTTCTCTGCTTTTTTGCCGAAAGGAATGACCCTCCACAGGAGTGGGAGCACCGCTAGCGGCAACGGCAACGGCACAGTGTCCAACAACGTTATGAGCACTGGCGATTCAGTCCAGTCGCCGCTTCCAATAGATATGTTGGGATGGTGTGGACGAGGTGGCATTTGCGCATGGGCGCTGGACTGCATGCAATTTGATTCTGCTGCAGAAAAGGCGCGTTTCGAGAGACACTTGAAGAGCGAATACCGCCTCGTGCTAAGTCTCTCTGCCAAGGAGGTGCAACACTTTGTGGGCGGTAGTGTGGAGTTGATGGGGCTGACGGTTGTTGGAAGGACCGTTTCTCGGCTCGTGATGTCATTGACAGCGTACGAGGCGCTCTCGCCGCCGCACCGCGCCCAGATCTTGCAGTGGTACGGTGGGCCGCAGGGTATTTTGCTGCTAAACGTTATGAACATTGAAAGTCTGACGGGTGCGCCTTTGCGGCGTCTCCTGGCGATGGTGCAGTGGCACGGTCGTTGGCCGCTCTCCAAGACACCTCCACGAGAGGCGCTTGAGCGGTTTGGCTTTCAACCTCATCAAAAACAGCAACGGCGGCCATAACAGACACGGCAGTTTGTTTGGTTGTGTTGTCGGTGCCTCTGGGACTTCGTCGTTGCTGCGTGTGTATTTTTCTCTTTTCGTTTCTTTCTTTCTCTTTCTATCACTGTATTTTTTTATTGGCCGCGTTTGCGCTGGCTTGTCTCTTTCCATCCATTTTTTTTTTGTCTTTTCTCACCGGCTGCGAATTGAATCACGTGCATCTTTTTTTTTTTTTTCTTTGGACTTTTTTCTCTTGTTTTTTTTCTTTTCCCCCCTTTGGCCGCTGTGGAAATAAACGGGGGAGGGGAGGGGCTTTTGAGGCCGTCGAGGCGGTTGGCAAGAAATGGCAGGCGATGAGGCGCTGCTGCACATTTTCGTCGGTACCCTCTCGGCCGACAAAACGACGCGGGAGCAGGCGGAGGCGACCCTCACGCATATCTCCGCCGACCCACGGCTGATCACGCGGCTCATTCATTTCTCCTGTCAAGAACTTCCGTTTCATGATGTCCCTGCGGAAATGCAGCAGGCGTTGCAGGCCGCATCCATACGTGTGCGCAACGTGTTGGGCCGCAGTGACTGGAACCGAAATCCGTATTTTACTGAGGAGACGAAGAGTGCCGTGCGGGAATGCATAGTTCCACTTCAGTGCGGATCACATGTGCCGGAGTTGGTGCGCCGACAGCTGCTCGCCGCCACGCAAAACCTCATACGCTACGACTACCCGCATCGTTGGCCGTCGCTGATGCCGCAGCTGAGGCAAATACTTGACGAGTGTGCTGCACACCTGTGCGTTTTATCAGACGCATCATCGTCGCGGGAGGTTGCCACGCTGCGGCTGAAAGGGGCTCTTGGCATCCTGCGGGCATGCTGCAAAGTCTACAATAATCCAATTAAAATTGACGCGGATGATATTGAGGCGTTCATTGATGCTTTTTGTCCATTGCTGCTGTCACTCACAGAGATGCTGGTATCCGTGTGGGCACAGGAGTTATTGGCGCAACAAACGCCGCCACCGCCACCGCCGCGATTGAATGGCATCCCAGACCCTTCTTTCCAGTTTAGCACGAAAAGGAAAGAGAAATGCATGTTTGTTTTATCTTCGTGGCACAACGAATTGTCTCACTGCCTGCGCATTGCACTCAAGTGCATTCATTCACTCACCGAGGCGCGTTGGCCACGTTTTCTCTGCGACCAACCAGGTATGGATCGACTCTGCAATGGTTGCCTTGGCCAACTGCTGGACGCGAGCCACAAAACACTGCTGCCACTTTATCGTCTACGCATCCTCAGCAGTGACTGTGACGACTCGAACCTTTTTACCTTGTTTCATGAGTCCGCTGTGTGGAAGCTGTTGAAATGGACGCAAGGCATGTGTCTCAAGATGATGCAAGATCTGATGTTTCCAAAGAGATGCGAGCGGCGTGCACGCGCGGCGGCGAAGTACTTCTGCGATCATTACCTGCTGGGGTTTGTGCAACACGCACTTGAACTTGTACGATGGCATGCGACGCCTCGCCATTTGACGTCCAAGGCTTACATCATGTCGCTGGAAATTCTCACAATGGCAGTGGAAGGACGGGAGGCGTACCGCAGCGTCATTGCACCAAATGCGGAAGAGATTTTTACTTTACTCATCTTTCCGCGTCTTACCTTTTCGGCTGAGGATGCTGAGTTGTGGACATCCAACCCTGCCGAGTATGTGCGGCTACAAACAAGTCCCGCTGGGGACCTGTACAGCGCGAAGGTGGTCTCCTCAGGTCTCATGCTTACTTTGGCGGCATCATCCAAACCATTTCACGACGCGGATTTTGTGCACCACGTTGTGCAGTATGTCCTGGAGCGGCTCACAACACACGCCAAAGCAGCGGCGCAAGGGGATGTGGAGGCGGCACGAGTTGTGGATGCCTGCCTCTTTGCCATTTATCAATTTAACAAAGTTCTTTGCACCATTGGCTTTGGGGATGATCGGGTGGAGTGGCTCTTGACAAATTATGTGGCACCTGCAGCGAAGTATCCTGTTGGATTTCTACGGGCCCGCAGCATGCTGGTGTTAAGTGTTTTTGCGTCCAAAATTCACTGGAGCAGTCCACAGGCGTTTCAGTTTGTTCTCTCAGAGATCCTCCCACTTCTGCAGGATCCCGAGATGCCGGTGCGAATGCAGGCATGTGCCTCCATCGCCTCCCTTATCTGCCATCCGCATGCAAGGGACGTCATTGCACCCTGCATCAGTGACGTCATTCAGCACTATTTTTACGCCATGCGCCTCATGGACAGTGAGGGGGTGGTCCGCACCCTGCGCAGGACGATCAAACACTACCGTGATGTTCTCTCACAGTGGGCACTACATCTCACCGAAATGTTGGTGCAACACTTTCTCCATGTCCTGGAGCGGGTACTCGCCGAGGAAGTTAAAGATTCTGAATTCACGCCATTTACAGAAAACACCGGTGGTGACGCACGGTTGGATCCACTGGTTTCCGATGAAGATGCTGTCGCGGACACTATCATGACCGCTGATGAGGTCTTGGAGACACTCACAACACTTGTGCGTGCTGTTTCTCAGCAGGAGGTGAACTCTTCTTCCAAGGCATCAGGGGAGGGTGCCTCATTCTGCAGATGCAGGAACGCATGCCCCGTGC